CAAATTTTTCTCTCGGCCACCGATTGACGCTTTCGCTTTTGTAAACAGACCTTAAAAGGACCTTAAACAGACTTAAAACAGACCAAAAACAGACCAAAAACAGACCTAAAACTTTAAAGTCGAATATCTCAGTGTTCTTTGGCAAAACTTGTCTTTTACGGATCTCCGTGGTCGATTCTATAAGATCCGCATAGGTTCAAAGTCATTTGGAACTTCGGCCGGGGCTGTTCTTTTGTAAACTGCAATCTGAGCATTAATGTCTCGAAGAATTTAGCCTTTGTCTCTGATATGCATACAATTTCCTCGCCTCTTCCTTTCGTTTTCTGGTCCCATCACGATCCCCTTCCCCTTTCCCCCCTTCCTACTGTAACTCAATACGCAAAGCCTGGAGCCTGGCACCGAAAACCTCAAATGTAAACGGGTGATCCATTGTTGAACTTCTTTAAGAATTTCTTTTTGAACTGAAACATTTTACCTCGTAAAGTTTTGAGTGATTTTTGAAAGTTTTCAAAATTATCATTTACTTTGCCAGTTTAACTGTAGATATATTTTAAAACTGGAAGCCGTTTGCAAGAACGGTGATAAGTTTGTTGATTGTTTATTGGCTGTTTATTGGTTGCTTATTGGTTTCTATTGGTTGTTTATTGGTTTCTATTGGTTGTCTATTGTATTGTTTATTGTATTCTTTATTGTATCTCTTTATTGTTTTGTTTATTGTATTGCTTATTTTATGTATAAAAGTTACAAGTATCCATTCAGGATGCAAATTTATTTGAATATTTCAGATGGACGACACGGTGGAGGAGTCGCCACCGATTTGCGAGTACTCGTTTACGAGTCTTCGATGACGGAGATCCGATCATCGAGTGCGCCGAATGTTCGCAACTCGATTTGTTTTCGTAAAACGGTTGATCTTTCGGAAATTGTTTCCACAAAATTGTTTTCACAAATCCCTTTACTTTCACAAATTAGCGATCCCTTCTCTTCTGCTTAAAAACAAAAGCTTTTAGGCTAATTTATTAGCTTTTTTTCATGATTTTGCATTTAATAATGCATTTCTATAACGGAATTTCGTAAGGATCAATCCACTTAAATGATCTATATGTCAAGATGTAAGTTTGAAAATTGAAATTCAAATCACTGTCACTTTTATTAGGATCTACATTAAATTTAATTAAAGAAATATAGAATCTTACTTTTTAGAGACTTCACCGATAAAAACATCGAGAAAATTAGGATCAAAGTCGAGATAAGTGTCTACTCCCCTCTAGAGATGCTTACTCCCCCTAGAGATGTCTACTCCCCTAGAGATGACTTACTCCTCTAGAGATGTCTACTCCCCTAGAGATGTCTACTCCCCTCTAGAGATGTCTACTCCCCCTAGAGATGCCTACTCCCCTCTAGAGATGTCTACTCCCCTCTAGAGATGTTCACTCCCTCTAGAGATGTCTACTCCCCTCTAGAGAGCCCCACCCCCCCCTCTAGGAGATGTCTACTCCCTCTAGAGATGTCTACTCCCCTCTAGAGATGTCTACCCCTCTAGAGATGACTACTCCCTCTAGAGATGTCTAATCCCCCTAGAGATTTGTTTTCTATAACGGAATTTGATAAGGAATATTTTAAACCAAACCACAAGTTGATCGCTCAATTGGAAGTCGAGATATGAATATTTAATATAACATAGAGATTTGCTGAGAATCCTGTACATAAAAATGAGCATTTTAGTGTTTTCAAGTTTCCATTATCCTGTATCTATCCAAAAATTTGCTCACATAAATCATAAATGCAAAGTAAATTCAATAGAATTTTTGTGAATAAGCTGTTTACTTGGATAAAAAATAAGTGAGTTTACGAAAAGTGACGGATTTCAGTGCTTTTCCTATGGCATTGAGGGTGGCGAAACATCGTGACGAGGGCACAACTATCGAGTGCACAAGCAGAAAACAAGAGAGATTGTCAAAGTAAGCACAAAGTGCAAAAACATCAAAACAATTCAATAACTTCAATCAAATTTTTCTTGATTTATATTAGATTTTACTGTATCTAGATCTAGAAGATCTATAAGATCTAGAAGATTCTAGAAGATCTTTAGGGTCTAGGAAGATCTTTAGATCTAGGAAGATCTTTAGGATCTAGAAGATCTTTAGATCTAGAAGATCTTTAGATCTAGAAGTATTCCTTAGATTCTAGAAGATCTTTATGATCTGTGAAGATCTAGAAGAACCAGAAGATCTAGAAGATCCAGAAGATCTAGAAGATTATAGAAGATCTAGAAGATCGTAGAAGTTCTAGAAGCTCTAGAAGATCTAAAAGATCTTAGAAGATCCAGAAGATCTAGGAAGATCTTTAGATCTTCATTTTAATGGGCTATTTAGAAGTAATCAATTCACGGCAATTGATCTTCCGCTTTTCTCCATTAGAAAGGCTTAATATTTTCCTATAAAAGATCAAGTTGAAATCTAAAGAAATCTTTTGTTTCTGGTTTTTATTCGCAGATTTGAACCTGCCAGTCAAAAACGACTTGATTACACGATTTAGACACTTTTGTTCAAAGAAATCTATCTTATGTGAATAGAAAAAGAAAGAGCCCAGAATTTTAAATTTATGGCTAAATTTTCAGAACAATCTGCTTTACCGATTTCTTTGTAGAGTGTTTTTTATCGAATTTTACGAAATTACCGATTTTTGTACTTGAATTCGCTTAGCAATGGAACCCAAATTAGCTTGAAATTATAGAAAAATACTAAACGATGAAAGCTAAACGTCTCCCCATTTGAAGAAACCGTAGGTCAATTGGCGAAACTTTTGTTTAGATTGACAAAAAGCTGGGCAATTGGGGATTCGAGGATGATATGAGCCTGGTGGTGAGCACCCGGCTGACAAAGGCGGCTAACTGGTAAGCGCTTTAAAGAAATTGATAAGAAAATGTTAATTCATCAAATTTATCATTAAATCCATCAAATCTATCAAATTTAAGTAGTAAAGTCTCAGTTTCCAGTTCCTAAGCCTAAGCCTAAGCCTGAGCCTGAGCCTGAGCCTCCGAGCCCAGCCTAAGCCTAAGCCTGCTTCCAAGCCTAAGCTCAGCCTCCAAGCCTGAGCCTAAGCTTGCCAAGCCTCCAAGCCCGAGCCTGAGCCTAAGCTTCCAAGCCCAAGCCTGAGCCTGCCAAGCCTGCTTCCGGCCAAGCCTGGGCCTGACCCCTGAGCCTAAGCCCAAGCCTAAGCTTCTTCCGAGCCTGAGCCCAAGTCCCAAGCTTCCAAGCCTAAGCCTAAGTCTGAGTTTCCTAAGCCTTTAAACTTTAAATTTAGGCCATTTCCTCGGCGAGCAAATCGGTTTCACTGGTGTCCCTGCAAGCTTTAGCTGATCATTTCGACAAATACTTCATTCGTGGACAAATCGGACAATCTATGAGAGACTTTGTGGAATTGTGAGTGCAATTGAAAGATATTCAATCAAACAAAAGAACTTTAAATGGGAATTTGAATGGAATTTGATAAATTCCTCATTGGAAAAACATTTCCTTTCAGAATGCGAGTGATTTGTGTTGAGGATTCCCGTTGGTGGACACATTTCGATTTCATTAGTGATTCGCTAAAGTTTCAAGGTGAGCTTTTGAGTGGATCTTGTTAAAAACCGTCTTTTCAACTACCCTAAATACTGAATAGAACGCCACCTCCACGTACAGCCACGTAGTCTAACTTTTTTAGAAAATCTCAATCCCCAGAGTTTTCCCAACTAAACTTTTGGTATCAAAAAAATACTAGATTTCAAGGGCTATCATTTGACACCGAAACGAAATCCGTAGCTTAAAGCAGCGCGGAGAATGGAACGTTCAAAGTTAGACTACGCGGCAATACCCCGTCATTATGGGGATGCCGTTCAATTACAGTATTTACCGTTGGTAGTTGTGATCAAGTAAAAGAATGATAACGAATTCTGTAGCTTAATGGGAGAGAATGGGACGTTCAAAGTTAGACTACGCCACTGTACGCCCGTCATTATTGGAGTGGCGTTCTATTAGGAGTATTTACGATAATAATTTGAAGACTTTTCTAGAGATGATTTATTGTAAACTTTTAACTAGCTTTTAAGAAAGACATTTCAGCCTTCAAAATGATATAAAATAGAACCTGATTGGACCAAAAATCCGAAGAAAATCAAGAGAAAAGCCAGATCGAATTGTTCCCCTCAATTCGCTGCTCTTGACCAATGAAGACTCAATAAAACTCAATAAACTTAAATTCAATAGATTAGTAGACAGTAGATTTAAGAAAATTAATGTTTTCAATCGATTTTTTGACCCCGAAAACCCTACAAATTTACAGCTGAATATCTTTTTTTGAATGTTATAACAAAGCAAAAAGAAGAATCCGTATGTAAATGACTGGCGAGGTGTTCTTTGTGCGGTAATCGCTCTCCATCTGGCATACTCCTCTAGTATAAAGTGCTTCTCTTTGAAGTGGAAAGAACAAAAAGGTGACTCGTCGTTCTTTTTTCTCGCTTCGTTCCTTGGGGAGAAATCCTTGGGAGAAATTTTGTTGACTTATATTTGGCTACAAATTCTGCATCCCGCCAAAACCATTATCCTACCCAAACAGCAGCCACAGCAAACAGCAAACAGTTCTACCAGTTGGTAGAACAGCCACTATGCCAAAATCTTCATCTTTGGGGACAAACTTTGGCCCCAAAGTTAACTGTATTCTTGATCCGAGTTGAGTCCTAGTTTTCGAATCCATTTCTTTTCGAATCCATCTCTTTTTGGTCTTTTTCTGAATCAATCTGGTCTGACAATTAATGTTTAATTGCCAAATAATTAAATAATTGCAAGGGACAGCTACTACAATTGTCACTTTCTATGCTTTGAACAGATTCGCCAGGATTTGAGTCAATTCAACAATCGCTTTAGTGATCGTTCGTTCTTGGATGGAAAGCTCCGAGGAGTTCGATCCGTTTAATGTACAAGCGGTGATCAGGAATTTGTTCATGTAAGTCTTGAAATCAAAAGCTAGACAAAAGCTACAAAAGTCAAATATGAGTTTTCTTGTAAGCTACAATTTTCTGTAAATCCTATTATTCTGTCTTGTTATAGCCAGCTATTGGTTGGGTGTTCGAGATTGAATCACTTGGTTTTGAAAGAACCTTGGTCTAGAAAGAACCTTGGCCTTGAAAGAACCTCGGTCTTGAAAGAACCTTGGCTTTGAAAGAACCTTGGTTTTGAAAGAACCAAGTGATTCAATCTTGGTTCTTTCAGAGTGTTCAAGTGTCCTATTGACTGAGTACTTTTTAGGATTACTGTAGTCGGATAAAAACTAGAATTCTAGTACTCTACAGTACAGTACAGTACTCTACAGTACAGTACAGTACTCTACAGTACAGTACAGTACTCTACAGTATCTTTAATAACTTTTTTTCTAGATTTCTTCAAAAGAAACGTTTGGAGTTCGAAGCGGAGAAGATTGATGGGAAAAAAAAGGTACTTTCTTTGTGATTTTGATGCTTTTTTTCAAATTCAGATTCAAATTCAGTTTTTCTGAGTGATAACGATGAAAAAAAATTGCATATTCAATTGATTTTTATAGTTAAAAATGAAGACAATGATTGGGAATTTGATGGCAACAGAACAGCTAAAGGTTGAGCAACGACAACCGAGCAAGTCAATCACCATCAAAGAGGTTCGTCGATCAGACTATAAACTCTTATAAAAACGTGTAGAATGGCTATTTTTATAAACGCTTTTTACCAAAACATCGAGCCAACTTCGGGCTTTTTGAATGACACAAAGATCAGCTCAATTCACAATCTCTGAACGTACTATTTTTAGCAGTTTATAGCAGTTAGTCTCGTTCCATAGAAGAAGACTACAAACCTTGACAAAAACGTTAGATTTCAGTGTAAAGCTGGTGAATTGAGCTGATCTTAGTGCCATTCGAAAGCCCAAAGTTGACTCGATTTCAGGAACCCATCAGAGAAAAAATTTCGCACTTCCGAACCCTAAAATCAGCTATAGATAAACGAAAATACCGCTTCCACGCTAAGTTCTTGTTCTTGATTCTTGATCAACAAACGATTACCAAAATCCTTCGTTGACCAAGAACTTGGCTTGGCCTGCCTGGTGTTGAGTGTAGCTTCATATTCTTCAATCATCGCTTGGCTTTTTGTGCTGTGTTGTTTGACCTCGCGGTCATCAATAATTGTATCATCAAGGAGAGTGAATTGTCGGGCGACTTTTAAAAGCGGCTTGGTAGTGACCTCATCCATCGGATTGATACCGAGCTGAGGAGTCAAATGTAGCATATCCGTTATCCACCAAAAAAGCGAATAAAACGAAGAGCGGATAAACGGATAACGGATAAAAAGTCCAACCCTTGTTATTGATGCTAAAATTGTCGTTTTTGTTTTTGTTTTTGTTTCAAACTTGATCTGAATATGATCGGAATCAATACAATTGAAAGTATTGACTTGAAAGTGTTCAAAACAAACGAAAACTTTAGCAAAACGGGTTCAGTGGAATTTTAAAGTAAGGAAAAATGACGAAAAAGCGGAGAATGACCTTATAAAGACATAATTACAGTAATCCGACGCATAAAAGACGCATAAAAAGACGCATAAAAAGAGTCGCAATTTAGCTTTCAACATTTGGGTTAAAACACACAGCAAGTTTCCTTTAGGAATTGTCTATCGATGTCGGCCACGAGCCATCGGATGACAGTGAGAGCTTCTCTCCGCGAAGATCCACGAGACAATCGAAAACGAAAAGTGTACGTTTTGTGAAGAGCTTAGAAGAGACTTAGAAGAGATTTATCAAGCTTTGATATCAAATTCCCCATTTCAGAGTGAGAAACGGAGTGGTCTTCGTGATCGAAGCTCGAGACGGTCAATCGTTGAGGAATCCGAGTCTCCACCACCGGTGGGAAAAAGAGAAAACCTTAAAAGAAAGCTTTGTCTTTGAAATATCTTTGCCTTTGAAATATCAGAAAGAGAAATTGTTTTGGAAATCAATTTAGAGCACCTCAAAGAGAGCTCGAGCTAAAGTGGGAGTTGGGAAAAGTCGGAAAAGACGATGATTCGCCGCGACGGAGACGAACATCTGGAGGTAAAGCTTTGAATTTGGAATGCGTTCACAAAAATATTAATTCGTTAACTGAATACTCTCAAAATCACAAGTACTTTGTGAGAAATGAGTTTTGAAGTTGACTAACTAACAGTGCAGCAAGAGAAAATCTTTGATCAAGTTGTTGATCGAGTTGATTCGATCAATTTTTCATCACCTTTTCTCCAGTTTCCACCTCATCACCCGGTCAACCATCCCCACAAATCAACGTTGACGACGATTTTCAATTCGTCAAACCGATGATGAAAGAGAAGAGACATGGTTTGAATTGAAAAGCTAAAGATTGAAAAACTAAAAACGTCTAAATTATGATAAAAAGAGGGGTGGGACAAATGCGATCTTTTGCGCACCTGGCATTTGCGCACCTTTTTTGCTGGAAAAGGCCTTAGGGCAAGGCCGTAGAGCTTCGAAAATATCCATATAAGGAAGTCGTATGCGTATCCGTGATTCGACAAATCAGACCTCGCTGACACGTCAAATTTGGGCTAAAAGGCAAAAACTGCGGAAAAGCGTTAAGTTGCGTAGTTTTTGCCTTTTTAGCCCAAATTTGACGTGTCAGCGAGGTCTGATTTGTCGAAATTCGGAATATACGCATACGATTCCCTTCTACGAAAACATTTTTGAAGCTCTACGACCTTTCCTAAAGCCTTTTCCAGCAAAAAAAAGGTGCGCAAATGTCCAGGTGCGCAAAAAAAGGTCGCATTTGTCCCACCCCCTAAGAAAGATATTAGCTTACCTTAAAAGATCAAAAACGTCATTTCTTTTTCCAGAAGACACCCCGAGTACACCAACAATTCGCTCGCGAAAATCGTCATCTGTTTTAAAGGAGACTATAGGTTAGTTTAAGGGCTAAACTAACTAGGGAAAAGCACGAACTTGTGTCTTTTGACAAAAGCACCAAGGTGAGCTTTTGTCTGGACACCTAGCGCACTTTATAGAATCAGATATGAGGAATCCGAATCCGAAGTCGAAATTTGTCAAATGACTTTCGTCAAATGACAAATGAATTTGTCAAATGACTTGAATTTGTAAAAATTCTTTCGCTTTGCTTTAAAAGGCTGTCAGCTTCTTTCTTCGCTTCTTTCTAGCAAGGAACAGGGATATCAGTGGCCTAGCGGGTAGCGTGTTAGGATTCCACCCGCAGGTGTTCAGGCTTCGATCCCTAGCACAACCTTTTGAGATTATTTTTCTTTTCGAGCAACTTCTAGCATTTTGCAGCCCATTGCATTACGGTTTTTCTTTCAATTTTTCAATTTCTTCGATCGTATCCGATCGTATCGTATTGTTTACACAATTTGCACATGTCCTTTGCGAAATTACACTAAACTTCAACATTTAAATGCAAACTAAATACTCTTTTCAAAAACCAAAGCAATTTGACAAAGTAAAATGAATGAAAATCAACAACAAAATACTTAAATTGAAAAGTAAAAGCATGTTGTGCATATTGTGCTTTAAAAAAGCATATTGCATCAACCTGAATAACAACTTGCCGTATTTCTTCGAATAGGTCCGGGTAAAGTATCATCGCGCTCCTGGCAGCCTTTTAAAATTTCTTTTCTGTATAAAGGGTTTTAATCAAGTGCTATAGGGCTGGAAAATGACTCAAAAATACGACATGAGCTAACAGATTTTTGAGCCATTTTCCAGCCCTATAGCACTTGATTGAAAGCTTTTATGCAGAAAAGAAATTTTAAAAAGGGCTGCTACGCAGGAGTACGCGATCATACTCTTTACCCGGTCTTCTATTCGAAGAAATACGGTAAATAACAATTTAAATAAAAGTCTTACTTTGCAAGCCGCCATCATGCAATTAGCTGTAAAAACCTAGATGCAAATCCAAAAGAAAAAGAAAAACAAAAAGCCTCATCAGGGATCGAACCCGGACCCTGTGGGTTTGAAGCCAACTGCGTTATCCACTAGGCCACCAACGTACCTGTTTACCCCTAGGAAGATGCTCCCTAAAGCATCCGTTCTGCTTTAAAGCAAATTCGAGCAAATTTTCGATTGAAGTTTTACACGTCTGGAAAGTCATTTGGAAGATTTTGTTTTCAGATTCAAATTCCTCATACCCGGTTCTATAAAGTGCACTAGGTTGGCAGACTAAACATGGCATTGAGTCAGCTTTTGTCGGGTCAGCTCATGACCGGTCAACCCGAACATTCAATTTTTCGGTTCAGGTCGGGTCGGGCCAACTTTTGACCCGACCCGATCCGATCCGACCTGATTTCCCCATGTCTAGCCCAGACAAAAGCTCGCCTTGAGTTCGTGCCTTTCCCTAGTAAGCAGCACTCCGATTTAGCCTCAATATTTAGGTCCATTTGATCGTTTGTTCATCCCATGTGATTGTCCGAACTCCATCTCTTCTCCCATCTCATTTTGTGTTCGCTGTGGATGGTCACCAGGAAATGCGCCACATCCTTATGAGCCACTCTGGTATAGAATTCGAAATTTCTTCTATCTTATGGTTTTGGCTTTTAAAATACAATGTGGATTTCTAGGTACATCATCGAGCGAGACAATCAAGTCTATGTGATCAACACCGACGCAAAACAAAGAGAGATTCGATGCAAATTTGTCAAGGTAAGAAAAAAAGACGCTTTCTATTCTACTGTATTTTCATTTAATGTGACCAAAATTGAGTTGATATGGTGTAAATTTGGCAGCTGATTTACGATGGCTTTAGTGCTTTTTGAATCTATTAACCAAAGCACTGTACTCATAATTTGAGAAGCTTTGACTGAAGCTCAAGCTTTGACTGAAGCTCAAGCTTTGACTGAAGCTCAAGCTTTGACTGAAGCTCAAGCTTTGACTGAAGCTCAAGCTTTGACTGAAGCTCAAGCTTTGACTGAAGCTCAAGCTTTGACTGAAGCTCAAGCTTTGACTGAAGCTCAAGCTTTGACTGAAGCTCCAGCTTTGACTGAAGCTCCAGCTTTGACTGAAGCTCCAGCTTTGACTGAAGCTCCAGCTTTGACTGAAGCTCAAGTTTTGACTGAAGACCTCTCAAGTTACAGTAAACATTTTTACAGAAATAAATAAGAGTTATTAAGTTATTAACCAAACCAAAGTTCAGTGCTGATCCTTCCATTTTCAGGATGATCAAAACTCACTCCGAATCCTCGCCGACACTTTCAATGAATTCCCGGTTAATCAAAAGACAATCTCCCGTCAGAACTCGATTCAAAACGGTGAAAAAAAAAAGGAAAAAGAGAAAGCTGAGGTAAAAACGGTGATGCTACCAGTAGAAGAAAGAAAAGCAATGGCCCTTCAACTCAAAGTGAAACCATTAAAATTAGTGAGAAAAGCTGATGGAGCGTCAACCTCATGGGAACCATCACCGGAAGTAGAAATTTATGAAGAAGAATTGAAACCAATGCAAAAGTTGAGACTGAAAAAGGGAGCATCGCAGAGATTGGATGAAAATCTGGGAAAGAAGGGGAAAATCACGGAAAGACGGAGAACGGTTGAGGAGATTGAGGAAGAAGAAGAGGAAGATGAGGATGACATGGAGATCGATGAAAAAGATGTGGGAGATTTGATTACGGACATTGAATTACCGCCTGTACTTGAAATGATGAGCCCATTGAGGAGAAGGTCGTCGGTGAGAGCAACGAGTCGAGACTCGAGCAGGAGATCCGAGGTGCGTGCAAATACTCAGCCAAGACAAAAATCCCTTTGTCGTGCATGTGTTAAAAGCCAGACTGAGATTACTATAACAGGATTTGCTAAAGTTTGACATGAGATGGAGTAACAGTGAATTCTAGCTCAAGCAATCCTTTAGCTCGTTGTTAAGTAAAGCAAAGTGTAGGGTTGCCCGTTAGGGGTTATAGCGTCGCACTTCAGAGAGCCTAGATCGGTCAAAATTGAGTCAATCGTTCTGGTTTTTCTGGAGGTAAATCTTAAGTATGTCTCCTTGAATCGTGTTCATTATCTAATTGATTTAAGCTTTCAACTTTCTTATATGACCTTTCAAAGTTGAGGCACGCATAAATCATTCAAGTGGCCATATTAAGTGAATTTTGGTGGCATTTCGCACGAATTTTTGCACTTAAACTGCGTAGAGCATGTGAAATTTCATTCATTAACATAATAGATTTAATCTCAACGAGATTTTAACAAGATCCCTCTCAAAAATCCCATAATCAATCAACTTTGGAAGGTCATAAAAAAAAGTTGTCTAGGTGGTCGAGTAATCCTAACGGGCAACCCTGCACTTTACAATACTTAACAACGAGCTTACTTAACACTGCATTACTTAACAACAACAAAGGATTGCTTGAGCTAGGGCTGATGAAATGTCTCCATTCACTGTTACTCCATCTCACGTTAAACTTTAGTAAATCCTGTTATAGTAATCTCAGTCTGTTGTTAATTGTGGGCCACCCTGTACAGCATTTAAAATTCCCTGTTGTTTAATCGGTTAGCTTATTAGCTTGTTTAATCGGTTAGCTTATCAAATAAGCTTCAAGTTTAATCGGTTAGCTTATTCTTCATTCTAAAAGTACAGGGTGGCTCACAATCATAGCACCGCACAGCATTCTGTGAAATATTCAGAACAAAATTACTACAAGTGCTAAAGAAAGTGGGATATTAAATCCTTTAACTCGTTACACTTGTAGTCTAAAAAGTTCATTATTCAAAAATCAAGGATCTGCAAAAGGGCACAATTGTAAAATACTATATAAACTACAGTATCCTAAATAAATCGAAAAATTGGTACTAATTATACTTTCAAAGTGTCCCCCTAAATTCTAGTTGAAGATCTTTTAATTTTGTGGAAGAATTCAAACAACTGGAGCAGCTTCAAACAAATGGAGCAGCTTCAAACAACTGGAGCAGCTTCAAACAACTGGAGCAGCTTCAAACAACTGGAGCAGCTTCAAACAACTGGAGCATGAAAGCTACGAAACCTCTTTCTGCGGGGCTTCGTAGCTTTCATAGCTGCTTCATTTGTTTGAATTCTCCCACGAAACTAGAAGATATTCAGCTGAGTGAAGACAAGACAGATCTTTTAATTTTGTGGAAGAATTCAAACAACTGGAGTATAAAACACTTTGAAAGTATAAAACTAATCGACTGACTAGTCTATGTATTTCTAAATGACTACTTCTAATCCACACTTAAACTAAAGGATAATTGTGGGGTTGATTGAGTGACACTATAAGCATTATAAGCACTATGATCTGGCGTTGGTGTCGCCGTTTTTGCTGTTGCTGTTGCTCATTTCATTGCCATTTAGGCAAGTCACGCAAGCAAAATGGAAGAAGACGGAATGGATGACGGAGAAGAGGAGAACGAAGATGGGGCACAACCAAAAAGATTGAGAAAGATGAGCAGAAAAATGAGAGAGTCACTGTACGGGAGTGAGGAAAATGATGAACAGGTTTTGATGAAGCTTGATTGATGAAGCTATTTATCAATAATAATTTCAGAATCCCGAAGCCCCACTTTCCTCACCACTTTCCTCACCCACAGCCAATCAAAGTTTGCCAAAATTGGACCCGGAAAGCTCTCCATTAAGAGAAAAACCTTCTGAAAATGCATGTACGGAGCTGGAAAAGTTTTTGGAAGAGAACGAAGAAGTGAGAAAAAGTTGAAAACATTTAAGCCTCAATTTTCAGTGTGATGATCCGTATGCGCACTTGTTGGACAATGTTGGACCAGGCTGGGAATCGAATGCATCTGATGGAGATGGTGAGTCATCTGATGGAGTGAAAAATCAACGTCTATAGACATTAGTCCTGTTTGTTCATAGATGTAAACGAAACTTAGCTTTTCAAAGACCTTAGCTTTTCAATGATGATGCATCGCTGTGATTTTGTTACCATTCAACTAAATGTTTCCTGTTGAATGTCAGAAAAAGTATGCAGATCGGTTAAGTCTCTAAAAATGATGGATACAAGTGCGCTTGCACAATCGACATTTGAGTACTAATGTCTTGATTGTTTTGAATTGTTTTTAAAAGTTATACAAAGCTTTCCAGATGACACATCAGCTTGTGATGAGATCAAGAGAGGAGCGTTGACTGAAACGAGTTTTGACGAGAGAACAGCCACGAGAAGAGACTCTACCGGGTCAAAAAGGGTGAGAATTGTATCATTAAACGATCAAGTATATAGAAAATTGGAACTGTACAGATAGTGCATAGATACTGTACAGATTCTGAATAGATCCTGTACAGATCCTGTACAGATCCTGCACAGATCCTGTACAGATCCTGCACAGATCCTGTACAGATCCTGCACAGATCCTGTACAGATCCTGAATAGATCCTGTACAGATCCTGAATAGATCCTGTACAAATCCTGCATAGATCCTGCATAGATCCTGCATAGATCTTGTACAGATCCTGTACAGATCCTGCAAAGATCCTGTACAGATCCTGAATAGATCCTGTACAGATCCTGAATAGATCCTGTACAGATCCTGCACAGATCCTGTACAGATCCTGCACAGATCCTGTACAGATCCTGCATAGATCCTCCCTAGATCCTGTACAGATCCTGCATAGATCCTGCACAGTTACCATAAGATATCCTTCTTGTTCAGGCTCACAACGAGATTACGAGTCATGAGCTGAATGGAGACTATTGGAAACCGGTGACCGCGAATCGAGAGGTAAAGATGAGGTTCCGAAATTGGCGAACTAAAGAATCTAGGAGAGAAACGGTCGACGCGGGAATCGAACGCTTTCCCCGCAAAACTCACTCACTGCATCGCGTGGTGACTCGTTTGATGACCTAGAAGTTGGGGTCATTCCTCAGCTGAATCCAGAAGTGAGCTTAACTTAATAGTGGCTAATAGAAATTTGATAAAAAAGAACCAGCAGTAAGGAAAGAACCAAAAAAGAAAAAAGAACCAATCAGCAATAAAATTTGAGTTAAAGTTGAGGGAATTTAAATAATGTTTCCAAATTTAGACTCATCCAGAAGAGCGAGACTCGTTGCTTTCGTCGGATGATGGGGAAAGTGGCGATGAAATGTTCGCCAGGAGAATGGTTTGGTTTCAAAGATTTAGTTCTGTAATAAAAAGATATTCAAGCAATACAGCTATCTCATGTAAAATTGACATTTTCTTTAGATTCTTTAGAAGTCATTCTTTAGAAAATCCCCTATGCAAATTTCATCGATCAACAGCCGCCATTCAGCGTTGAGAACAACTCAAGCGGGAAAAGAAATCTCCACATTTTGAAGGTTTTTCTTACTCTTGCTTTCTTAATCCATTTGTATTTAGTTTAATACATTGTTAATTTGAGATTATTTATGAAATTTCAGGCAGCTAGCGGCATTCGACCTCATTGGAGCAGTGCGGTGATCGGGCCGGCGTTTGCTCGGATGAAAATTGATGATTCGAATAAGCAAAGGTTTCATTGATTCAATGCTAATGATTGATTGATTCAAAACAATGCTAATAATGCAGAAAATTGTACTTTTATTCTACCAAAAACCTAGAAATTCCTTTTTTCAGTGTTGAGAAAGTTCTCCGAGCTGTAGATGTGCTACATGGATGGAAAAAAGATGAACAAGAGCCGATTGATGTCCTTGAATGTCTCACGAAACCCGCACCATTTCCAGGAAGACAGGTAAAGGCTTTGAATGTGTTGAATAAGTCTTTGAATGTGTTGAATGAAAAACTTTCGGAGCCAATTTTTGACTGCTTCTTCCGAATCGAAGTGTTCTCCCGCAAGCCGGACCATTACTCATGGTCCGGAATAAATAGTAATCAGAAGGGGCAAGGTCCGGACTGTATGGGGATGTGCCAAAAGTTTCCAAACAAGGCTATTCGTACCCTTGCAGTGTTGCCTTTCAGATGCCTCTCAGATTACTAGTAACGATACACTTCGAGTGTCCCCCTCTGCCCCCCAAGTCCTCCAAGTCCCTCCGCCAAGTGTCCCCAAGTGTTTTCGACGCTTTTTACCCATAACTTTTTCGACTGATTTAGTCATCAGTTTATTTCTTAAAGCTAATAATTTAATGAATCTGATGATCTATTGGGTTGGTGAATTGTAAACTGCGGAACTTTAAACTAAAATTTATTGAACATAAAACCATGAATTGATTCCAAATATTCCATTATTATAATTCCATTATTATTGACAACTTCTGCCCATTTTACAGGCAATTTGCGGGTTCCTCTTTCGTAGTAGGATTTTGGTTTGTGTGTGAGACAGGTGTGAGACTCAAAAATCGAGGACTGGAGATGTCCCAGTGTCCCAGTTTGAGCACTTTCTTCAAAAGAAACCCATTTTGGTGTTAATAGAAAAGTTGTAGAGAATCAAAAATTAGGCTTATAGCCAAATTTCTAAAAAGATACACCTAGTAATTTCGCTTAAAATGCAAGTTTTGTGAGAATTTGGCATTTTTTTCTTAAATTTGGCATTTCTTGAAAACCAGTTTTTGAATCTTTCTGAAAATTAGGATATAAGCTTGATTTTTGATTCTCTACACCTTTTCCATTGACACCAAAATGGGTTTCTTTTGAAGAAAGTGCTCAAGCTGTCACATATGACAATAGCCCGCGGTTTTCAATTCACCAGCCCAATAGATATGTCCAAAGTCTTCACAAATAGTTAATATTTTTCATTCAGATAACTAGACTTCACCAAAATTCGATTAGATTTTATACAGATGATTCAGATCTTTGCCCATCTGCTATCAGACAGTCAACGAGCTGGTCAAGCACTCACGGGAATTCCTCTCTCCTACGTGGTGAAAGATGACGAAGAAGAGGAGATTCAGGTAAATGGCAATGATGACAATTCAGGCAATGATGATAAGCATTATTAAAGTAGTAAACTAAAGTAGTAAACTAAAGTAGTAAACTAAAGTGCTAATAAAAAGAACTTTAGCTAAATATTCTTTAAAATATGATAGACTTGATTGAATTTTTTTAGACGGCTATTTACGAGGGTGAATCCGATGGTGGATTGAGCGAGATGGTAAAGAAAACGAAATGGAGTGATGCTGGGAAGATCCCGAGAGGAGTCGTGGTAAAGAATAGTTCTCGTAAAAAGGAGAGCAAACAAAATTTTGCCTAGAAATCATTTTATTGTCTGGCATATTTCTGAGAAAAAGGACAAAATTTAGCCTAAAATTGTGGCCTCAAAAAGATCTCAAAAAGATACGACACTTTGTAGTAACTGTGATTTCAGGGTATCGGTTACAAACACACGACAAGTGGTGATGTTTGTGAAGAGATCGTTTACCCGGGAGATGATGAACAAGATATTCTTTTGCGAGCAACTCGGGCGACAAGGTGGGACTCAAATTGAAAAGCAATTGTAAATTGTAGCAAGTGAATGCTAGCTTTAGCAGGATTTGAGCAATTTTGAGAAATTTGTCAACTGTAAGCCTGTAAGCCTGTCAAATAGCCTGCTAATCCTTTTTGGCGTACCGTAGAAGCCTTGCTACGTTATCGTTTAGACTAAAGTAAAGAATTTAGCGCAAAATAGGAAATGATTAATGGTGCACTTTCATAAATGGATCCTTTTCAATAACAAAAACATCTGTCGGTCCTTTTTTGCCGTTGGCAATTTAAGTTTTTTTCGTGTTTTTCTCAGCACAAACCCTTCGATTTTGACTATTTTGATTATCAATCGATTCTAAATGAAATTGCGCGTCGAATGATATTAAAATCAACTCAAAGTCTAATATCCGTGCAAAGTTATTGGTTAAAAGGCTAAGCCCCCGCTCATTATCACCTTTTGCCTCGTAACTCTCCATGGATATTACATTTTGAGTTGGTTTTAATATCATTCGACGCGCAATTTCATTTTGCATCGAATGAGAGTCAAAATGATAAAAATAAATGGGTTTGTGCTGAGAAAAACACGAAAAAACTTAAATTGCCAACAGCAAAAAAGGAATCAGCAGATGTTTTTGTTACAAAACTACTTTTCAGCACAAGAAGCTGAAGATGCGAACGAACCAAGTGTTCGTGGCCGGCCCCCAAACTGGGACCAATCAAAGGCCGATCGTGTGGAAAGTGGAAAAAGCAGAAAAAGAGATCAATCAAGAGAATCGAGAAATCGATGAAACGAGAAGGGCACTCATCGGAAGCCTTCTCGATTTCGAGGGAGATTTGCATTATGATGAGATCCTCTTCCGATATCTGGAGAATGAAAAGCCGAAAGTCCCACAGAATTATCAGCTGGACTTCAAGATGACTTTGGTGAGTTTTACGGGATTCGAAAGGCTCATTTTTTCGCTTGAAACTTTCAACTCAGGGCTTTAAAGTCTAGCCTACCGTAGCCAGTAAATGTTACAGTAGCCCAAATGAAGATTACTGTAAGAAATACATCAATATCAAGCTATGAAGATCTAGTCGGGTTACGATAGCATGCTTTACATCGGTGGCCCATCGTGACAAGCTATTTGAAAGGAATAAGTGCTTGATGTACATTAATGTTAGATAAATTTTAGTTATTTTAACACATTCGCGACGAGGCCTTTTTTTGTGTTACTGCCCCAGTGGACGAGGCTCTCGCAAAGCTATTAGCGCCGAAATACACCTCCTCTATGTAAAATTTGATGCTGAATCCGAATCTCTAATCAGATTTGGAGAATATTGCTGCCTCAAAAAGATATCGGCTCTTTTTGGCTCGTGAGACAAAGCGCCGCATTTCTCTTTCTCCAATGGTCTGTTTTCCACGATTTTTGTTTTATTGGATGGAGCTCAGCTAGATGAACATTTCATATCAACATCATTTTTTGATAAGACTCTATCCCAAAAAGTTATGACCGTTTTACTGGGATACGCGCAATAGAGGTATTCTATAGCGCAGTCGGTAGAGCGTCTGTCTCTGGGGTGGGAGGGGTTTCGTCCGGTGGACCACAATTTCGTCCACCGGTGGACCGAATCGTCCCAGGGGCCAGACGGCCTTCGTCCACCGGTGGACCGAACTGTCCCAGGGGCCAGACGGCCTTCGTCCACCGGTGGACCGAACTGTCCCAGGGGCCAGACGTCCTTCGTTCACCGGTGGACCGAACTGTCCCAGGGGCCAGACAGCCTTCGTCCACCGGTGAACCGAACTGTCCCAGGGGCCAGACGGCCTTCGTTCACCGGTGGACCGAACTGTCCCAGGGGCCAGACGGCCTTCGTTCACCGGTGGACCGAACTGTCCCAGGGGCCAGACGGCCTTCGTTCACCGGTGGACCGAATCATCTCGAACGTGTTAATGCTAGAGATTCTTAGCTACAAAATGATAGCTCAATTGTGAGAATTGGCTCAATATTCGTTTCGATTCGAGTGAAATTTGCCACTCGAAGAGTCGAGTCGAGTTTGACACCGAATTTTCTATTTAAAACCTTCAGCTCTTCAGCTCTTCGGCCTTCAGACCGAAAATCCAAATGTTTATAGCATTTTCATTCTCTATCCAATGACAATGATTCAATAAGACAGATGATTGAATATATAAAGTTTTGAAAGAAAAAATGTCTAAATCGAAGTCTAAACCGAAGTCGAAATTTCGTCACTAAATTTGTGCTGTTAGCTTCTTCAATAAGCTTTGAAAAATTAGCCAATAAAAGGTGTTAAAAGACTTATTCACCAATATAATATGTCTTACTTTTAGTGTCATTTGATAAAAAAGGAAAAATTCAAATAACTTGTCACGATAATTTTGGGCCACCCGGTAAAGCCGGACTTTTCTAGTGGAAAATCTCGCACTGGCTATTGAATTTTTAAGCTAATAGCAGCTTAGCAATTCACTTCTATTAATTTGACTTTAAACTTTTCAATTCTAGGACAAAAAGCTCAACCAAGTGCTCTTCAAATTCGACTCCGGTTCGAAAGGCTCGGCTGATCTGTTTGAGCCGTCGACAAGCGGTGAAAAAGTTGACGAGCAACCGATTTTGGTAGATTGTAGATTGTCTAATGGTTTTCTAAGCTTTCATATTACAGGGAAAATCTTTTGCAAATGGCTATACTCCTCAGAAAAAGCCAAAGAAAGTTCTTGATGAATCGGATGATGAAGAGACCGATTCACCGCCGACAAAATACCGAAAAACGAACTCTGCCAAGATGGCGAAAACGGTGAGTTTAATGAAAAGCGTTTTAGAGTTTATTCAATAAAATCGAGTGACTTTCTTTCAATTGTAACTGAGAAACTGACGATTTTCTGGATCAATCAACAGTCATAGAATCAAAGAATCTTCTTTTTCAGTCTCATTTCGCCGAAAACAGCGACAGTGGTGATGATTTCAAAGAAGAACTTCTGGAGAAACAAAGCCGCAAAATGACGGAGAAAATTCGTGAGATTGTCACGCAGAGAATGAAATCGAAAAATGCGAAAAGAAGAGTTTGTCTGGGAACTTTTGATTTAAAATGAGACATTTAAGGGAAAATCCTCTGAAATCGACGACGAGTCCGAGGGAATGAAAGAGTCTGAGGTTTGGACTTTGTGAGATTGTGGATTTTGTGAGATTGCCATCGACAATCTAACTTTGAGCTCAAATTTCTTGGTATTCGGCTCTCCAATTTAAATAGTTTTGGTGTCATTAGATACGCCAAGTCTTTCTCTGCCGATTGGTACAAAAACTATTTAAATTGGATGGCTCAACACCAAGATATTTGAGCTCAAAGTTGCATTCAAATATCTTGGTGTTGAGCTGTCCAATTTAAATAGTTTTTGCACCAATCAACAGAGAAAGACTCGGCGCATCCAATGATACCAAGGAAATTGAAATTGGACAGCTCAAAGTCGAGATATTTAAGCTCAAAGTTAGATTGCCAATGGCAAAAGTGGCGGGGCGTGTATCAAATGTCCGATAATCTTTTGAGATGATTCCAAGACATTACAGTTTATGCATAGGTTTACAAAGTACTTTTTCCAGCTTCTAGTAGGAGCTTTGACTCGTTTACCGTAGCTTGTAGTTATTACAATACTTGAATGTTAGAGCACTTTATCCGTAAAAGTACCTGTAATCTTCAAAGAGTAAAGTCAAACAGTCAGAATCTGACTTCTGATCTGAGCCTAGCCTTGCTTGTACTTAAAAATTTTCGTTTGAAACAATTCTGATGAAAATTTGCTTTGTGGTATCTTTGAGATTGCTAGTAAAGAAATAAAGGAACTGGCAAGAAAAGGTAGATTGCCGGACAGGGGATTGAACCCTCGACCTTGATTTCCTTGCTTTTGGCAGTTTGGCAGACAATTGCTCTAACCACTGAGCTATCCGGTACTCTAACACACCAAGAGAAAGAGGGAAAGCCAAGGGGGAAAGAAGAAAGGAAGAAGAAAAGAAGAAAGAAAGAAAGAAGGAAGGAGTATCAAGTTTTAGGACGATTCTGGTTCGAGTGATGACGAGAGTGACACGGAGACGAAATCCTCGAAGAAAACCCCGGCTTCAACAAAGAAGATCAAAAGAAAAAGAAGAAAGCGCTCACGAAAACGGTATGGAAAGAGTTCTTCAATAAGCAGATAAAATTATTTTTTTTGTTATAGGAACGACGCTTGCAAATTATTCAAAAGAAACGCGAGAATCTCATCAGACAAGCTGAGAAGGAAAGGAATCGCATTTATGAGGTGAATCCTAATCAACTACAACAAACTTTACAGTCTCCTTTACTTTACAGGTTGTCGGACATGGCCGTGATCTCTCATCAATGGCTTGTGGTGGATTGCCGAGAATGGCTCGCTTGCAATTTACGGAACCGGGCAAAGACGCGTGCAAGGGGAAACAAGACGAAATCGATATGTTGGCATATTATCCGGGAAGGGTCGACTTTGAGCTGGTGCGTTCGTTGCTAATTGCTTTGCTTTGAGCTTTGAGCGAATGCTTTGAGCTGATTATTGAAAAAGTCAATCATTCAGCTTAAAACTAAAGCTTAAAAGACCAAAAACTCGGCGAAAAAGAAGCTTGAAGAGAGTTGGCGAAGTCAAAGAGTTCGTAAAGCTTCTAAATCGTTCGTAAATCTTTTAGAAAGTCATTTAGTGTTTTACATTTAGTGTTTTACTATCAGCAAGTTTCCATACCTTATCATGGTTAAACTTTAAAAGATTTTGTCATAGATTAACCTTAACTAGGGACTGGTCCAACTCCAACCAACGAGAAGCCTATCCAACCGTTTTCGTCTTCTCTTCACCGTTAGAACAAGCTATCTAAGTCAAATAAGGGTTTGGGTTAGAGAGCAGTCGGTTAGTGTGCAGAATGTAGGCGTGGGTTAAGTTAAGATATAGCCGAGCATTGTGTGTGTCGAATTGTGGCTATTGTGCCGAATAAACCAAATCCGGAGTCGCCGGTATACATCTTTATCTCACAATTTGACAATTGTCAGGTAAAAATGTTTAAAGATTTCCAAAGATATTTGGAAATTTGACAATAAGGTGCTTACTCATTGTTTTCCTTTTTTAGGAACTGCACAACGAAATGGAGGAGATCATGAGTCGAACACTTTTCAAGGATTATTCCGGAGAGCACGATTCAGTATTGGATATGGAAAATGGTAAGGAACACACGCACGTTTAACCGAATCAAAATAATCTTCTATACTCAAAAAAAGAAATAAAGCAGTTAAGCATAGTTTCAGAAATAAAGCAAACCTCTAATTTTTAGAGATAAAAATGATCCGCGCGCAACGTTTCAACCGGGTTCTTGCCGAGCGTTTAGCGGCAAATCGAGCCATTCACATGCACGGGAAAAATAAGGAATATTTGGAGTTCTTGAAGGTAAACTTAAAATATTAAATTCTAAAATAATTTCTTTATTCTAGAGAGTGAATCAAGGCCGACAAAAGCCTTCCGAAATTGTGGCTGAGAAAACGGGAGAAGAAGCGATTCTCTGTGTCATTCAACAGGTTCTCAAACCTGAAGAAATCGAAAATTTGCTGGAGAAACGACAAAGTAAGGATGGGAAAAGAAAATTACGAATAATTTCCCATTTCAGAAGTTCAAGAGATGATGGCCAAAGTGAAAGCGCTTCAAGAATTGCAAAAACAAGGTCATCTCGAATATGACAAAGAAGCTAAAGAACAGGTAATCACCAACAAAGGCTTTACCGGTGCTACAAAGATTTTCAAGAGTCCGGACTCATAACATGACACGGCAAGTCTAGGATTGTGAGACACACGCCACGCCCCTTTCTCATTGGCAATCTAACTTTAAGCTCAAATTTCTTGGTGTTGAGCTGTCCAATTTCAATAGTTTTTGCACCAATCGAAAGAGAAAGATTCGACGCATCTAATGATGTCAAAAATATTGGAATTAAACAGCTCAAAGCCGAGTTATTTGAGTTCAAAGTTAGATTGCCAATGGCAGAAGGGGCAGACAAACTCGAAATCTAATTTTCTATCGAATGAAAGCAAATTCAACGTTTTTCAAAGAAGCCCGGTCAAGGTACGAGCAAAATTCGTAGATTGCCAACGGCAAACAGACAGAAAAAAGGAGCGGAGTTAACATTGATTAGCTGATTAGACGCAAAAGTACTTTGTGCTTGATAAACGCGTGCTTTCTGGCTTTGAGCCGTATGCTGTATGATAACTTGTTTGCATTTACAGGAATTCAAAGTAGACGATGCAATTTTTGACATCTTTTTCAAATATTACTGATTAGAATTATTGAAACTTGGGCTCATAGTCAATAGTCTAGCTGCCGGACTTATCGGACAAAACAGTGGCCCAATGTCTTTATTGTTTCACTTGTTTATTGTTTATTATCCCTTCTCAAATCACTCATTGTTTCAGGTTGAACGAGCTGTTGAGAGCGCGAAACCGAAAGAGAAAAAGCGCAAGTACAAGAAAACGAAATTCACCACAATCGCCAACAAATACAAGTGAGTTTTCAAGGAAATTCAATGAAGAGATAAAAAAGAAACAAAAAAAACAAAAGAATGCATTTTGAAAACTAGCTAAGGGATAGGCTAATTTCCGCGATTTTATTTGCGCAACTAGATCTTTTGCGCAACTCGCCATAACTTTCTTCTAAGTAACCCAATCTTTATGATTTTGGTGTCATTTTGTATATCTCAATAAGTGCAACAAAATGACAGCAAAATCATAAAGATTGGCTCACTTAGAAGAAAGTTATGGCGAGTTGCACTTATTGAGATCTACAAAATGACACCAAAATCATAAAGATTGGCTCACTTCGAAGAAAGTTATGGCAAGTAGCGCAAAAGATCTAGTTGCTCAAAAAATTTGGCGCAAAGTAGCCTATCGCCTAGCTTATTTAAAACTTTATTCTTAAACGTTAACAAAATGACTTCAGAGTAAAGTGAAATCAGCAAAATTCACAAGAAAGTTTGTAAAAGCTTGTAAAAGTTTGTAAAACTAATCTTGTTTTTCAGAGACAAGGTCAAGTGGAATAAAATGCGCCAATTCTACAAAACTTGAACAAATTTTGAGTATTTAATGCTAATATACTAATTTTTGTTGTTAATAATATTGATAACTTTTCAATTTTCCATTTTCTTTACGTGGGTATGGTGCATGATTGAAAGATTAAATCTTGATCTCTTCTTATTTGTTTCAAAGCTCAATTCACTTTTTGTCTTTTCTTATATTTAGGCCAAAGTTTTGTCTCGAAATGTGTGCATTTTTCTCGATTTCCCATCGATTTTTTAATTGTTTGAGTACAAATTTACATTGCAAAATCCTGAAAATTGATGTGATGAGTGAATAAATGGTGTTGTGTCAAAGTGATTCTCACTAAAATCAATTTATCGCCAGGTGCTCATACAGGGTGCCCCAAACCAATAAAACTAATGGTTTAAAAACCTTTTCATTAAAAAAAAAACAAAAATTAACATTAACAAATTTATTCTCTACATTGCTTTCAACAATTTGGTTTATTTCTTCTCGAAAATATCTCCAAGTGGCGGGACGTTTTCGGGAGCCGTCGATCGTGGCCAAAAGATACGCAGGATCAAGTTCAGCCTAAGCTTTCTGGAGTGATTTTTTCAGTGGATCAATGTGCAATCAATGTGCTCAATGCTTGAATATGCTTTTGAGCAAGCCTTTGCTTCAAGAACACTTCAGACTGAGTAATCCATCGGATTTAAATCGGGGCTTGATGGTGACCACTGCTTAAAGCTGATGAAAGCCGGGAAGTTTCGTTCACACAAGTTCTGGACAATTCGGGCTATGTGGACAGGCACCCCACCTCGCTGAAAGCACCAAGTTCTGTTGTTCTGAGTGTTTAAATTCTGCTCAATGGTGAACACCTTCTCGTCAGTAAAAAGGATGCTTCGGTGATCGATTCCATTAAATCGTAGCATCAGGCCTTTTGATCGCTCTTCGCGCTTCTTTTTGGCATCGATTTTGAGAAATTGAGCTTTTGCAAACTTATAGGCTTTCATGTTCAAATGTTTTTTCACAATTCGCCTCATTGATCCCTTAGAAATCTTCAATTTCTTGGCCATTTGTCGTTGAGATTGCATCGGGCTGTATCGGAGCTCTTCGCGAACCTTCTTGGTATTCTTCTTTGTTGTCACGATAGCTTTCAACTTTTGATTGATCCCAGCCCGATCAAACAGAAGTTGTTCTAAGATCATTATGTCGACGAATTGTCTCGGAAATGACCGGTTTTGCTACCATCAGCTACCATTTGCCTTCGAGAAATCTCAATTGGCCGGACTCCCCTCCGAAAAAGCTCGATGATCGAATCTCAATGAGTAGATTTGCTCACCATACCTGAAAAAATTAATTTTAATAAGTAAATAACATTTTTGAAAGTCAAAATTTGTATAATAAAGAAAAAGTAGCAAAGATAGTCAACCCAAAAGCGCGTTAGAGCGCGACAAACGGAGGTAGGTTTGGGTGATTTGGGGCATCCTGTATAATTTTTTAAAGTTTTGTAGAAATGATCAAAGTAAATCGGTTTACCAAAAATCTATCAGATATCAGGTTTGCATTTTTAGTAAAAATGCAGTCAAATTTAAAGCAAAATTGTTCTAAAGTTGTGAAAAAAAAAAAACGAAAAATTAACAAAGAAAAAGATAGATGGCCAAAACTTTACAATGAGGCGACCAACCATGAAAAATGCTGAATGTAATCATTGTTCCTAGCATGAAAGCGGAATTGCGTGAAAGCGATTTTCGACGACACTTGCGGACTTTGGAAAAAATGAGAGATTTCGTCGGATCGTTGGCTGCAAACGTCTTAGGGCGAAAGAGAGCACCTATTTATCGGCGACGTGTGTCAGATCAAGAGCGATTGCGGGGCCGAACAAAGAACACCTCACCAGTCATTATTCTTTTGCTTTGTTGATGGTACAAAAAGATATTCAGCTGTAAATTTGTACCCAGGGGTTTTCAGAATCGTGAAATCTATTGGAGATATTCATTTTATTAAGTTTACCAATCTTTTTCCGGTCATTTTTTTTGCTATATGGTTTCTCTATGCTATATGATTTAATACGGTTCCAATACGGTTTCTTCTCATTTCTTTCTCATCCATTCAGTATTCCAGAAAAATATTCAGGTAACAATTTGAGAAAAATGTGTCTCTTTTAGTCAGAGTTATTGAAAAGTTGATTCAAAATTTGTGATAGCATTTGTGATATCATTTTTCTTGAAAACAAGCCATCTTTCCCTCTCAATGTCAAGGCCTCGCTAATTGCTCGGATTCCTCCCCAAAACTCGCCTCATTTCTTCTCATCCATTCGCTCGCAAATGAAAATAATGGTATTGAGTCTTGACGGGTTTTCTTTTCTTTTTTTCTTTTTTTTTCTTTTCGAAGCGATTTTCGTTTTTGAAACCCTCTTCTTTTTTGTGCATTCTCTCTGAATGACGAACTGGGAATTCCCCTCTAAATCATTATGAAGAGAAGACCGGTCAAAGCCCATTATATCTAGAAAAAGTATGTTCACTTTGTGCGATTTCTATTCATCTTTTGTTTCTTTCTGAAATAGAATTACATAACATTCTCACTGTTCTTCTTTGTATTTAGAAAAGAGAATAAGTACTGAGATACTCAAGATCTTGATACTGAGATTTTAAACTGCTTTAAAAACAAAAAACCTATACTTTACTAGCAGAAAATGCTAAAAATATCAAATAACTAGCTTAGTAAATGTTACTGAAACAATTCCTTAGAACTATTGGGTTGGTGAATTGAAAACTGCGGGATTTTGAACTAGAATTTATTGAAAATAAAACCATGAATTCATTCCAAATAATTTCCATTATTATTGACGACTTCTGCCCATTTTACAGGCAATTTGCGGATTCCTCTTTCGTAGTAGGATTTTGGCTTGTGTGTGAGACAAGTGTGAGACTCAAAAATGGAGGGCTGGAGATGGAGACTGGAGATCCCAGTTTGAGCACTTTCTTAAAAAGAAACCCATTTTGGTGTCAATAGAAAAGTTGTAGAGAATCAAAAATTAGGCTTATATCCAAATTTCCAAAAAGATACACTTAGTAGTTTAGCTTAAAATGCAAGTTTTGTTGCAAGTTTTGTGAAAATTCGTAAATTTGGCATTTCTTGAAAACCAGTTTTTGAATCGTTCTGAAAATTTGGATATAAGCTTGATTTTTGATTCTCTACAACTTTTCTATTAACACCAAAATGGGTTTCTTTTGAAGAAAGTGCTCAAACTGTCACATATGACATGTCAAACTGTCAGTTTTCACATATCAAACTGTTAGTTTTCAATTCACCAACCCAATAGTTGCTTAATGTGTGCAAAATCATGCTAATGGAGACCTTGATTACCCATTGTTAATATTATGCAATCCTTCTTATTCTCCACAAATTACTCGAGAGCATTCAATACTTTTTGAGCGAAGAAAACCAGCTCTTGCGGCTCAATTGGCAACGGTCATCGCTCAGAAATGAGAACAGAAGTGCATGAGAGGGAAGATTAATCTATGTTGTCTTGCTGCCTCTTTTGTGTATTTCTGGCTCTTTTCCCTTCAAGAACTCCCCCTAACCATTCCCCTCCGTCATTCAGTTATCCGAACCGGCCCCTTATTGCCTGTTGACCACTCAAATGTTGCTTCTTTCTTCGCCGCTTCTTCTGCATTTGCTCTTTTTTTCACACCAATTGCCTTACCGAACGGTGCAACGGGTTTTCCTTTTGATTCACCAACAAATCAATGTACGTGAGATTTGAAAACACGTACTTAACATTAAACACGTACTTAACACACTTAACATCTTTCATGAAACGCCCGCTTTGAACCAGAAATCAAGATAAATAACCAAATCCCAGAAATTTGCCAGAAATGGCTGAGAAGACGCTGGAATCCGAATCTGGTCTTAAATTTAGGCCAACAAAGAGTCTTAGACTACTCGGCGATGGAATCCGATCCAACATCATGCAACAACACCCGGTTTTTCAGCTTTTTACCAAATATCACACAACTTTCTAATAAAGCTAATGTCGGATTCGGAAAGAGGACCCAAAATTGCATCTCTTGCAAATGTTTTAAGCTCATTTGGTCCAGCCAAACAGCCATAGCCGTAGAATGTTATAAAGTTGAAAATCAAAACCAAGGGTTTTCTTTAATCAGTTTTTGGCCAATCTCTTTCATTAACAGCAGACTTTTTTAGTCATTTTATGATTAATTTTAACTGTAAACTCACACTATAGCGCCCTTTCTTTCTATGAGTTTTCTTAAAAACTTATTTTTTTGAATATTGGTGTGTTCCAAATCGACCAGTACGATTTCAAAGCGTTCGAGTGGCTTTTTGCTGAGTTTGCTGAACACTCTTTTTTTTAAAAAAGAGAAAAGCTCGAGCGCTCAAAAGATTTCCATTAGAAAAGAGGAGAAATTACGGTAAATTGAGCCGGTTGTAGAAAGGGAGAGAGGGGAAGAGGAGGAGAGCTCCGCCCCCTCTCTAGCCCTCCGCCCCTTTCTTTTCTCAATCTCAGATCATTGAAAGATCTTGAGTTATTGTGAGGATCAACTTGAGACAATATCACTTCAGATAATCTCATTGTCGTCAAGCTCTCTTCGACTCATTGTCTTTTATTTTGCAACTCTATGATTCAAGTTCTTGATCTAGCTTTTAGCTTTTCTTTTCGCCGGTAACTCAAATAAACATTGTATAAGAATCAAATAAACTACATTTTATATAAGAACTTCTAGAATATCTAAGAACTTCTAGATCTAGATTTGCTAGTTCTGCCAACTTTTTGAGAATTTTCAGTTTAAATCTGTGTCGAGTGTGCTTAGTTTTCTCAGATCTAAAGATTTTATAAAGAGTACTTTTCCTATCTTCTCTTGAGCTGTATTTTCATCTTTATTGCTTTTCAATTTTCACCACAATCACTCTAAAACTTTCAGATGAGACCTCGAGAGATTGTATTTCTCTTTATAATCTCTTTGGTCATTTCGGAGATCACACATGAAGGCGGATCGTGTGGACCGTTAGGTGTTCCGTAT